CATTAGAAATCAGATTCCTTCTTCAAATGTATGCGCCGTTAGCTTTGCTTTATTTTATAAGATATTATTAAAATGCATTAAAATTTCTGGTTTGAATCTGAGAAATTGTTCAAAGATTGTGAATACTTTTGCAAAGCACTCTACCTAACTACTAGGGACCAAGATCTGTAAATCAGCAATCACAAAAAGTAGACTAGCATGTAAAAACATAGGCAAAGTACAAATGTTGTAAAAAATAAATACTTCAATCCGAAAACTGAGAGCAGCAAAGTATAAATGCACTGTGACAACAAAACGGATAAAATATGCTAACAAGTATGCTAACACACAAAACACATGCAAAGAGGAAATGCTTGAAGTAGCAAAAGCAAATGAATGTTGTTTAAAGCTGCAAACTAGCACCACATAATGTCCTCCAAACCACTAGGGGGAGACAATCAACTTATGTGGGACCAGACCTTTTATTGAAGACATTAGGAAAGCAAGTTATCAATCTAATCTGATCGATTGATTGATAGGCGGTAATTTTCTCAAAAACCTTTTGTGTTGAGAGGATCTGTCCACAACATGAAGGGCCAAATATTTTTTACAAATACATTAGTATAGGCTATATATTAACATTAATCATTTATGGCACCGACTGTATTAAAGGTATAGTGGAGGATGTTCTTTTTCCAGGTGGATCATCAAGATAAGTGGTCCTCCTAATTGTCAATGATTCTGGTGATATGCCTATGTTATGGGGGAGTGGTAGCCTAGTGGTCAGTAACCTGACTCCGCCAGATGGATTTGCTCCGCATATCTATTATTGAAGTAATTTTGGGAAGGGGCGAAAATACTGGTTGGCTGATTGGCCTATGTTGGTGATAGACGGGCCAAATAAACCAATCAGATCAACGAAGCATATGACGTACTAACAGAGCGACGACGAAGAGGAGCCAATTGAACTCTTGCCGAAACCAGTCGGGAGAAGAGCAAAAACATCTTTTCCTCTGAGAAAAGCCTCCAGAGCAGTGTTTTGCTCTTCTTTCAGTGAAGAAATACTCTGTAATTCCGATAAAACTTGCTCGATAGCCACGCTAACGCTAGTTTCGTTGGCTGAAGCCGCCATGTTCTTTAGACTGAACTGTCGCGCTTCTCGTTGCGTCACACCTCAACCCGCCTCAAAGCCAACGCTGATTGGACGTTCGTTTGGTGAACGGCTCCTAATTTTCTTTAACGGAGAGTCTCCAGACTGATCTGCGAGTGAAACCTTGAAAGCTCGCGAGATCAGGATGGTCTCACAAGGCTAAGTGGTCAGGGCATTGAGCTTGCAATCCAGAGCTTTTGAGTTCGAGCCCCACTCCCACAAACTGCCACTCTGGCTCCCTGAACAAGACCCCTATCCCCACAATGCTCCCCGTGCGCCACACAATGGCAGCAAACTGCTTACCAAGGTGATGGGTTTAATGCAGAGATAAGTTTCTCAAGTGTAAGATTAATAGAAGTCAGCTTATTTTTATTAAGGCCCTCCTACGTGCTCTTCTCCACTTTCACTTACCGGTGGTGAGTCTGAGTTAGTGGAAAAAAATCAAAAATCTTCTTTTGGATAGTAAGCTTGTATGAGCGATGAAAACAACCACCTTTAAACAGGGTGTTTCACGAGGAGAAATGGTGTGTTGTGCACGCTCTCGCACGCATTTAATTGGCGTTCCCTCTCAAGAGTGGTTACAGGGTTGTGCATGTGGAGAGAATTTTCAAAAATTCGCAAAAAACCTCCACTTTACCTTTAAATACTGAATGAATTAACATAAAATAAGTTTTCTAACATGATCAAACATAAACATATTTATAAGATAAAATAAAACTATAACTGATACTATTTACGAATTTAAGGTTACTAATTAAAAAAGATGAATAACCTAAGTCAGACGCTTATCATTTCCAATATACAGAGATGTAAAGGTATCATTTAAAGACATGGTATGTCTTTCTGACATACTGTCAGACTATTTAACATATGGTATTAATGGTGGATGCTCTGTGCTGTTAGTAGAGCTTTGAAGGCTTTCCTTAAGAATGAACAATGGCGCTCTTTACTGGACGGCGGACATCCTGTTTATGTTTCCAATAAGGATTTGTTTCATGGACATTAATTTGAAGCAATGTCTATCATGAATTGATGACTGTCTCCCCCTATTGGACTGGAACGTCTCTGTTACTGCAGACTTTTTTTGCTTCTTTCAGGATTTTTTCCTTTGCACTCATTTTTTGTCTTTACGGTACTTTTTGTACTTGCTGCGTATTTATGTATTTGCTGCACTTTGCACAACTTCGACCTATGTTCTTTATAGATCTTCGCAGCAACTGTCTTAATTGTAATCTCCCTTGTCTCTGCACACCCGTGGAAAGATGCTCCAGGACGCTGAGAGGAGGCTCAGGCTTGTGCTGTCTTATGAGGAATCAGGGTATGTTGAGCCTTTTCGGGACTCCGTTGTTTCCGTGACACAAAACTGCATTGTCGTGAGCAACGTACTGGGACGAAACTATGTCTTCCTGGGTAAAGGCATGGCAAAGTGCAGGCAGGCTGTACGTAAGTTTTGCAAAACATGATTCTCTCTGCTGTCGTCATATCAAACTGGCATTTTTCTTACTCCAGAAGAAGCTACAGTATTAGAAATGTACATTGTCAGATGTATAATAGAGCTTTCAATATCGAAATGACTACACTCTGTCTTTAGGTTTAAGGTTTGAAAACAACTAGTTTGTCTCGCTTTATCTAAAGTTACATAAACCCAAACTAATTTGCCTTGCTGATAAACAACCCACAGCCTGCCTTCATTCACTCTCCCATCACACTGATCTGTAGCTGTTTTGGATAAAAGAAAAAGGTTTTACTACACGCCATATTGGCCAAGAATCAGCTTCTTGGCAGACTGACTTACTGTCAGCCTTCAACTCAAAAATACTTTGCTTTAGATCATCATCTACCCAATGACCTAAAGGAAGCCTGGATTGAAGGCGTCAAAACAAGCCCTCAGCATTCCCCATCCACCACCGTGCTTCACCTTGTTACTTCCTGCAGAATTTGTTCCTCTATATCTTTCAATAAATTTAATTTAACCTCTGATTAGAAGTGTAAAAAGCCTTTGAATAAATGTAAAAATGTAAAATGTATTTATTTCAATTACATAATCTCAGCATAAAAAAATAGATTTAAGTAACATAAATATGTGGGAAAAGATCTTAGAAATTTTTAAAATTTTTATTTCTAACAAAATTACTGGGGATACAGTCCTTGCCACCCATGGTGCCAAACCTTCTCCTTTTCCACTTCTTGAAGGACCTGTGATGCAAAGTCCATGTTCCTCCTTCAGTGGCCCAGAGCATCATTAGTCCTATACCGTAGTTAACGAAAGGGAAAAAGGTACTTTTTTTATGCTTATTTTACCACAACCAAACTGGAGTAAAAAACTCTGACTTAGTCCCATCTGAGCAGTTAATGTCCTTGTAGAGTTTAGTAAACTCTGACTTTTTTATGGTTGGACAGAAAGAGCCTTTTTTCTGGACTGACGTCCAAACAACTATTTGGCATTGATGTAGTCATTTAATGATCCTAATGAAGTATGGGTAGCAGGCAGAGAGGGGGGGGGGGTCTATCTAAGCCATCAAGGTCAGGAATCTAACTCCAGAGAGCTGCAGTGAGGGCTAAAGCCTCCTTATATAGATGCCTGCTCCATGCTATCCCTCAAAGATACTAATTTAAAGACTTTCTACAAGTCTCTAAGTGGACATCAAATTTGTACCGTCTCCTTTTTTGGAAAGCCGAGCTCAGAGTTGCCTTTGTTTGGAGCCACACTTGGTTCAGTAAATGCATTTTTCAAAACATCCTCAAACATCAGTGATCTGCCCATTTACAAACTGGGTTACTTTAAGGCAACTGTAGTCCTCAGAATCAACATTCCGCCATTTTTTAGATAGGTCTTTACATGTTAGTGTGGGTGTGCAAACTTACTTACCCACACTCACAACTAAGGCCAACTTAGAGACACCAATCAACCCAGCAGTCATGGATTCTTTGTCCATTTGTCAGACATGTTCAGGAGAACATGCTTGGACAAACTCCATGTAGAAAGAGCCAGCTTGAACCAAAGACCTCCTTTTTTTTATGTCTTGCAGTAAGACCTTCTTACTGCAAGACAACAGTGCTACAAACTACATCACTGTGCAGCCAGTTCAACAGAGGAAGAAAAACATGAAACATGCAGGACAGTGGGTCCTGAGCAAGCTTACTAATTGAGTTAGTGATGGAAGTTCGTACACAGATAAAATGCATTTATTTATCTGTTTACTTTAGCTTTTGCTTAGCTGACTGAGCCAAGGACATGCTCCCCTGACCTGTTAAGGTTGATGAAATGGCATCGATGGGTTGACCCAGAAACCATTGATGGTGTTGGGTTTGCCACTTTGTTTTGGCCTGATTGGGCTGTGTTTTCTGTGTCAGAGGTTCTGGTCAGTATGTGCTCTGGGCCTGACGTCAGAACTTTGTGTTTAGACGTCTCTTCACTCCCGCCGTTAACCCCTGAGCGCTCTGGGAAATATCTGCTGCAATCTCGGTCCTTTAAAGGTGGCTTTTATGGTATACAGACACACAAAAGAAAACAGAAATAGACACATTCCTCTCTGAAGCTCAGCGTTGAGGTTCCTGGTACTGCCTGATAGAGATCCGCACCTCTAAACTTTTGTTAATACGATGTGACTCAGTTAATCCGGCCGCTAACTTTTCCTTCCCGTTTAGGCTGCTGTAGCTGAGGCTCCTTGGAAGGTTGGGAAAATTTTAGGAGAAGATTTGGAAACCTGATTTTGGCTTTACTCTGGTCACAGGACCACCGCAATGATAGCTGCATGGAATAAGTTGACAAATAAAGTGTATTTTACTGCCATTATTATGATTGTTATTTTTCATTAGTGTGTGATCATGTAATGTTCAGCATCCATAAGTAAAATGTTTTGTTTTCCAGGACAGAGAGCTGCGACCGGAAGAAATGGACGGTAAGATCAATTACTTTTATGTTTTCACCTATTCATTACAGGGCCATACTATTAGTATTACATGATCTTTTTTTTTTTTTTTTATCAGAGCTGCGAGATGCATTCAAGGAATTTGATAAAGACAAGGATGGCTTCATAAGCTGCAAAGATCTGGGAAACTGTATGAGGACCATGGGATACATGCCGACCGAAATGGAGCTGATAGAACTGAGTCAGCAGATAAACATGAACCGTAAGCTCCTAACAGTTAGTATGTATGTATTGTATACAGATCCAGTCAGAGTGTATACTGTCAGACTGTATACAATACAGTCATCATAAACAGCTTGATTATAAAAAGCTTTTAAAAATGCAGTTAGCTCACGGATGGGATCATTACACAAAAAAGGTCAGTGACTTAAATCAATGGGAAATGTACTTATTAGCAAAAGCGTACATAGAGGCTCAGTTATATAGGTACTGACAAAGCTAATTCAGGGTAGATTTCCTGTACGGAAGAACCACATTGACCACATGGCCTTTTATAGCCAATACCGAGCCTCTCGTATCGTTCGCTCTGAATACCGGAAAACTTTTCAGGGTAAAATATCAAAATGTTAACTTTATTTAAATTATTGAGCCTTAAGGCAAAGCTCTTGATTTACTGGTCGGTCTATGTTGCTACTCTGAGCTACAGTGATGAAATCAGGGTCATGACCAAAAGAATGAGATCCGGGATAAAATCACCCAAACTGAGCTTCCTATGCAGGGTGGCTGAGCATAACCATAGAAATAGATCGAGGACCTCTGCCATCCAGGAGAGGCGCGGAGTAGAGCCATTTCTGTCAGGGTTTGGTTGTGTTTTGGAGGACCCAAATGCAGAGGCAGAG